TGAACCATGAACTTCCAGATATTTAAGCTGGATTTAGAAAAGGCAGAGGAACCAGAGATCAAATTGTCAACATCCACTGAAGTATCAAAACAGCAAGAGAGTTCCAGAAAAACATCTACTGCTTTATTGACTACACCAAAGCCTTTGACTGTGTGGATCACAACAAACTGTGGAAAATGCTTGAAGAGATGTGAATACCAGATTACCTACCTGCCTCCTGAGAAATCTGTATGCAATTCAAGAAGCAGCAGTTAGAACTGGACAGGGAACAACAGATTGGTTCCAAATCGGGGAAGGAGTACATCAAGGCTGTATACTGTCACCCTGTTTATTTAACTCATATTCAGAGTACATCATGCAAAATGCTAGGCTGAATGAAGCACAAACTGGAGTCAAGATGGCCAGGAGAAATATAAATAACGTCAGATATGCAGATGACTCCATCCTTATGGCAGAAAGCAAGAAAGAACTAAAGAGCCTCTTGATGAAAGTGAAAGAGGAGAATGAAAAAGCTTGCTTAAAACTCAACATTCAGAAAACTAAGATCATGGCATCCGGTTCCATCACTTCATGGCAAATAGATGGATGAACAATGAAAACAGTGTCAGACTTTATTGTTTTGAGCTCCAAAATCAATGTAGATGGTGACTGCAGCCATGAAATTCAATTCAATTCCATTCCAAGATGCTTGCCCCTTGGAAGAAAAGCTATGACCAACCTAGACAATGTATTAAAAAGCAGAGACATAACTTTGCTGACAAAGGTCCCTCTATTCAAAGCTGTGGTTTTTCCAGTAGCCATGTATGGATGTAAGAGTCAGATTACATCCTGGGCCCTGAAGAATGAATGCTTTTGAACTGTGGTGTTGGAGAAGACTCTTCAGAGTCCCTTGGACTGCAAGGAGATCCAACTAGTCCTTCCTAAAGGAATCAGTCCTGAATATTCTTTGGAAGGACTGATTTTGAAGCTGAAACTCCAATACTTTGGCCACCTGATGCAAAGAACTGACTCACTGGAAAAGACCCTGAAGCTGGGAAAGATTGAGGGATGGAGGAGAAGGGTATGACAGAGGATGTGATGGTTGGATGGCATCACCAACTCAATGGACACAAGTTTGAGGAAGCTCCAGGAATTGGTGATGGACATGGAGGCCTGGCGTGCTGTAGTCCATGGGGCTGCAAAGAGTCAGACAGGATTGAGTGACTGAATTGAACTGAACTGAATCATTCAGTCCCGGACCATGCAGAAGCGTGCCAGCTGCGACGGACCACACAGAAGCATGGCCGTGAGGAGCTACGCCTCGCCCGAGGTCGAGGCGGTGACTGAGAGCACCAGGCTGCAACGGCGCAGGAGCGGCTGAGAGCAGCTACCCCACGCCCGAGGTCAGGGGAGGTGGCCGAGAGGAGCTACCCCACATCCAAGGTCAGGAGGGGCAGCCATGAGGAGATACTCCTCGTCCAAGGTCAGGAGCAGTGGCTGCGCTTTGCTGGAGCAGCCGTGAAGAGATACCCCACGTCCAAGGTGAGAGAAACCCAAGTAAGACGGTAGGTGCTGTGAGAGGGCATCAGAGGGCAGAAAGGCTGAAACCACAATCACAGAAAACTAGCCAGTCTGATCACAGGACCACAGCCTTGTCTAACTCAGTGAAACTAAGCCATGCCGCGTGGGGCCGCCTAAGACAGACGGGTCATGGTGGAGAGGCCTGACAGAATGTGGTCCACTGGAGAAGGGAATGGCAAACCACTTCAGTATTTTTGCCATGAAACCCAATGAACAGTATGAAAAGGCAAAATGATAGGACACTGAAAGAGGAACTCCCCAGGTCGGTAGATGCCCAATATGCTACTGCAGATCAGTGGAGAAATAACTCCAGAAAGAATGAAGGGATGGAGCCAAAGCCAAAACAATACCCAGTTGTGGATGTGACTGGTGATAGAAGCAAGGTCCGATGCTGTAAAGAGCAATATTGCATAGGAACCTGGAATGTTAGGTCCATGAATCAAGGCAAATTGGAAGTGGTCAAACAGGAGATGGCAAGAGTGAATGTCGACATTCTAGGAATCAGCGAACTAAAATGGACTGGAATGGGTGAATTTAACTCAGATGACCATTATATCTACTACTGTGGGCAGGAATCCCTTAGAAGAAATGGAGTAGCCATCATGGTCAACAAAAGAGTCCGAAATGCAGTACTTGGATGCAATCTCAAAAATGACAGAATGATCTCTGTTCGTTTCCAAGGCAAACCATTCAATATCACGGTAATCCAAGCCTATGCCCCAACCAGTAATGCTGAAGAAGCTGAAGTTGAACGGTTCTATGAAGACCTACAAGACCTTTTAGAACTAACACCCAAAAAAGATGTCCTTTTCATTATAGGGGACTGGAATGCAAAAGTAGGAAGTCAAGAAACACCTGGAGTAACAGGCAAATTTGGCCTTGGAGTACAGAATGAAGCAGGGCAAAGGCTAATAGAGTTTTGCCAAGAGAACGCACTGGTCATAGCAAACACCCTCTTCCAACAACACAAGAGAAGACTCTACACATGGACATCACCAGATGGTCAACACCGAAATCAGATTGATTATATTCTTTGCAGCCAAAGATGGAGAAGCTCTATACAGTCAGCAAAAACAAGACCAGGAGCTGACTGTGGCTCAGGTAAGTACTCCTTATTGCCAAATTCAGACTTAAATTGAAGAAAGTAGGGAAAACCACTAGACCATTCAGGTATGACCTAAATCAAATCCGTTATGACTATACAGTGGAACTGAATCATTAGGGAAATGCAAACCAATGAGGTATCACCTCATATCTGTTAGAATGGCTTTTATCAAAAAGAGAAGAGATAAACGTGGGTGAGATGTAGACTATATCCCTAGCGCTTGACCTTGTCCAAAGAAGAGATAGATGAATGAATCAACGACTGAAGGTCAGTAGAGGGAAATGAAAGACACTAAGGGTTTACTTCGGGCTTCCCTGAAAGCTCAGTTGGTAGAGAATCCGTCTGCAATGCAGGAGACCCCAGTTCGACTCCTGGGTTGGGAAGATCCACTGGAGAAGTGATTGGCTACCCACTCTAGTATTCTTGGGCTTCCCTTGTGGCTCAGCTGGTAAAGAATCTGCCTGCAATGTGAGAGACCTGGGCTTGATCTCTGGGTTGGGAAGATCCCCTGGAGAAGGGAAAGGCTACCCACTCCAGTATTCTGGCCTGAAGAATTCCATGGACTGTATATATGGGGTCACAAAGAGTCGGACACGACTGAGTGATTTTCACTTTCACTAAGGGTTTACTTCAGTACAAATAATGAGAAAATAAGAGTGAGAGAAAGTTAAAAGAAAAACAGCAAAATAAAAAGGCTAAAGAAAGTCCTTGAATGGTTTATAAGGCCTCTTTCAAAGTCTAGATTTATCTAAAAGTAGGTCTGACTCCTCTTTGTGATCCCATGGACTGAAGCCAAAAGGTTCTTCTGTCCAAGAATACTAGAGTGGGTTGTCATTTCCTTCTCCAGGGGATCTTCCTGAGTCAGGGATTGAACCTGGGTCTCCCTCATTGCAGGCAGACTCTTTAACAACTAAGCCACCAAGGAAGACCTAGGGAATAGAGGTCAAGTATTCAGATAGACTCTCACATAACTGAAAGATAAAAGCTAAAAATAGTGTCTTTCCCCAGCAGAGAGAACCTGTAGACGGATGACAAAGCCTTGAGTGTGGCAAGCTAAACAAAGGCTCCAGTAGCTCAGATCTCAGGGGAAGGGAGCCTGGAACACAGAGGTGTTCACATGAGTCAGAATAAAATTAACTTCAGGGGGAAAGCAGACTCTAGGAAGGACTAAGAATTCACCTACTCACTCCCTGAACTGAGTTCAAATTTAGGTCCCTTTCTTCAATATCAAAGTAAAGTTTATTGTTGCTGTTTCTGTTCAACTCAGTTATGTAACATCTTGTCCAATGGTTCCCATCCGTCTACAATGTCTCGCATGGTCTAGACGGTCCCCACTCCACAACTCACTCACTCCTGAGAACATCAAGGACTTTTCCTGAGCTCCCTTCCACCACAATCATAGGAAAGAAAGCTGAGGGTTCCAGAACCACTGACAGCTGGCCCCACCGAGCCCGACCCTCTTACCAGCTGGTACTGGCGGCTGTACAAGTCATGGCAGTTGTTGAAGATGTACTCATATGTTGAGTTCAAACAGGCCTTCACACAATCTTTTACTACCTGGCTGGCTCTTGGAGGGCTCTGAAGTTCTTGCACCTGCCAATTAATTTAACAAAATATGGGTCCAGGGTCCTGCTGACCCTGAGTGAGTGAGATCTCTTCCTGGAAGTGCCCCCAAACTATCCCAGATTCCTTCATCTTTCTTGAGGTCCCTGGGCCTTGCCCTGAGATGAAACTGTCAGGACAGCTGACGGAGAGAACTACCTAGTCCATCCTTCTTGATCCATGATCTTCTTGGAAGTAACTCAGGAACAGATGTATGGAAATATGGGCTTAGAGGTGATGGATCCTATAGCCTTAGACTATACTCAATGATTCTTAGCTTCCATGTCCCTGGGGCCAGGTCCCCGGCCTAGCACCACCCAGCCCAAATTCATCTCTTACCTTCATTCGGAAGAAAGTAATGCTGGTCAGCAAATCCACTGTGGACTTTAAGTCCTGAAGTCGCTCAGGGCTCCCAGCAGGGAAATTATTCTGTTGCAAACCAAGCAAATGTAAGAGAGGAACAGAAGAACATGAAAGCCTTCCCTGCCAAAAGCAAGAGATCGGAAGCTTCCTAAGGACCACCCACAGGGATCTTTCCTAGTGAAGCAGAACAAAAATGCTGAAGACTACATGTCTCTCTCTCTTTTCCATGGACTCAGGCCCTTGCCCAAAGCAGGTGTTAATAACCCCAGGCCCAGAAAGCAACACGTCCTACCCCCAACTCTACTTCCCATGCAACATGTGAGTATTTGCACAAATAAACATACAGACACTCACACACACACACTTTTTTCTTGGGTGAAGAGTCTTACACCCAAACAGTGAGTTCTTCAGAGGTTACAATCTAACTGTATATCATGGAATATAAGTGGAGCCACACTAGAGAAAAGACTGGGATCCAGGACGTACACTTTCTGTACAGTGGATCCCGGGTACTCTCCCATCCTGGAGCCAGCAGATGGCAAGGCTCTGAGCAGAGCTGCGTTTGGAGTGAGTTCCCGAGGATCTTTTTTTCCTTTGGCATGAGTCTCAGGGAGAGGCTGCCAAGCAGCGCTTAAGGAAGATGCTGCACCACTCTCCATTTTAAGGGTTGCTTTTTTTAAACCTTCAAAGGGCTACTCATATGCCAAATACAAGATATACAGTCAACTCTCCATTCTTCGTGCGAATGGAGGGCGCTGAAGGTGCAGATAATTAAAATTGCACTTCTTGACTTTGAGGTTGTTTTATACTTACTTTTTAATGTGGGTATATTGCCTGTTCTGGAAATTCACAACACTTTAAAGCAAGTAATGAAGTCATTCTAAGAAGGCCTAACTTAGGAAGAACAAAAAAACCTGCCCATTTCCCTGTCCTGATCTAGACACTCACCTCCCTGCTACATCTCTGTCCTCCCTCCATTCTAGAAACGGACATATCTGCTACAAATTACTGGCCCAAGCCAAGCTACTGTCTCTTCCCTTAGCCAGATTCACACACCTTGCCTGGAAAATGAGGAGAATGCGGGAAGACACAACAAGAAAACGTAAACAACCAAGGTTTAAAAGGCAATTCCGGAAAAAAATAACCCCAAGAAAACCCCCGAAGGGAAAGGCAACAGAGAGTTTGGTAGGGTGACATGTGTGGGGTTAGAAAGCCAACTATCTATAAAGAGCAACTACACCTGCTACTGTTTAAACACTGTATGGTCCCTGGAGTTAGAAGACCCACAGGTGTCAGTGATGTTGGCCATACTCAGATGTGATGAAAAGGACTAATTTTCCTTGCCTTCAATTTTTATAGTTGTGATTGGCCCATAGTCTCTCTAGACTGATCTTGATAATATGCTTCGTCCCACCCCACAGCCATGTCTTCACTCACCCTGTAGGTGGAGAGGTCAATCCTCAGTGAATTGTGCAGCTGGTCCAGGAGTTTCACAAATCTCTCTTTCTGAGGGTGGTAAACAAATAACAGAGAAGAAAAAGGTCAGTTCCTGAGCCCTCAGACTGTAGCAAAAAGAGAACTATCTCGGGGTGAGGAGAAAACTCTGAGTTGGGGACACATCAGGTCTCGTATTTACCAAAGAGAACAACAAACCACGCGAAGGAGAAACGATGTCGTTTGCGTTCCACCTCTTAGCACTCACATTGGGGACTCTTCCCACACTGGCAAGACGAGATACGTTTCTGGGACTAGAAACAGCATTTTATACAAATCAAGAGGAGAGGACCAGTGCATCTCCATCCCGCTGGGACTCTAACTCATCTCAATCAGACAAAAGGAAACTCCAGACACAGTCTCCACCTTATTCCTGGGTCTGTGGTGTTCTAACTTATCTTGGGATAGCTCATAACAGTGAAACAGCCATAGGCTGGCAGTGATGGGGGGAGAGAGAAATAGTGATACGTTTGGAAGGTGATCAGTGATACATCTAGAAGGTGGAACCACATTGCATATCATTTCCCTTAGTTTATACATTTAAAATGTCAAAATAAGTAACAAATACTATTTGATAGTTTATTTTTAGAAAAGTATAATTAAATATGGAACATGTTCCTATAGGCTATTTGTATAGCAGTCCTAGAACTCACATATTGATAATATTATATAGCATTAGATATTAAGCAAATAGATACTGTGAAGAGACAGAAAGGAACAGATATCTGACTGGCTTAGTCAATGACACTAATTCCTCTACAGAAAGACTATCAACATCAAAAAACTAATTACTACCAAGGAAAAGCACTCAGAGACCAGAGATACTGATTTGGGAGTATAAGTAATTTTGTCTCTAAACAGTAGTCTTTGTGGTGGATTAGAAATATTCCATCCAGTTTATACTGAACTTCCATCAGGTGACATTACGTGCAATGATTCAATTTCTCAAATATCTTTACAACAGGAAAGGGTATACCCTGGGTCAGGAAAACAGTCCAGACACTAAGAAAGGGTTAAGTTCAGGTATGTACTGGTATTCTTGCTTAGACGTCAGACTCATATGAACTTAAGTGGTACAAATCTGTCAGAGAGAGACTGAATAATAAGAAGGTTCCTTTGTGAACCTGCGGGGCTGAAGAACATGGTGACTTGACCAAGTTTTTGGCCCAGAGAGGTTCTCCCTAAGCCCAGGTTGTGCCCCCACCAAACCACCATGGTGCTATTCCACCTTTTCTCATTTATCCATATCTGAGGAGAGTCTACTAGTATAGACTAAATACCCATAAGGAAACAAGTTCACTATCTAGGTGGCACTATATATTTGAATTTTTAGGCATATCAGCTCTGCAGTACCAATTGAAAAATCAAACTCTTGTTAATTGATAACAATCAGGTAACATGGCTTAACATCACACTCACCCCAAAGTTGGAGGCTGCAAAACGATCAGATGCAGAGACATTGGTGGAGGCAGTTGTGTGGGCATAGTAGGCATTGATGTTGGCCAGTAAGGTGCTCATCACTGCTGGCACACCAGGACACATATACTTGGAGGACAAACATGCAAAATGCCTGAAAAACAGCATCTTCAGCCTCAAAGACTCTTCAGGGTTTGTGGCAAAAGCCAAGTAATCAAAAGATCCCACTCTTGTGTATGAAGCTTAAGATCACCTTGGCAGACAAAGATTTTCATAATTTATTTATTCAAATATACATTCAATGAACATCTACTATGTGCCAGGCCCTACGCTAAGTGCCAGAATCCAAAGAGGTGATAGCCTGGCAAGTGTCAGAAAGTAAGTCAGTAACTTAAGGCATGCTGTGCAAAAATTCTCTGGGAACATACAGGAAGGTCATCTAAATTAGAATGGCTGGGGGCTAGAACGGACTAGAAAAAAGGCTTCTCAAAGAAGAGATGGTTGAAACAAGTCTTAAAAGATAGTAAGAATTAGTCATTGGAGAAGTATGCAGGCAAAGGGAAACTATTTCAAAAACAAACCTCTTCATGAAGAGAGTCATTCATTTGGGAAACCTTCCTTATAGCCATCGTTCAAGCGTTTGATAGACAAACACTAAGGAAGGATGGAGGAGCAGCAGGGAACAGACAGTAAAAAGGGTTTGTCCCAGATGCTACAGGGCTTTTAAACAAAGGTTTACTGTGATCAGATTAGTTTTTCAAAAAGGCCACTTTGATGGTAAAAATCAGAAAAGAAAACTTGGACTAAGACAGAAAGACCAATTGGAGAGTTATGGCACTCACTCAGAAAAGAAGCAACAAGACAGCCAATGGATCAAAGAAATGGTTAATAAGAGCACAGACCCAAGATCCAAACTCTAGAGTTGAGTCACAGCTCCACCACTCAGGGACCTTAGATAAATTACTTCAACTTTTTTATGCCTGTTTTTTATCTACAAAATGGAAATAATAATGACCTGGGGATGAAATGAGTTAACATTCATAAATTACTTAAACCAGTGCCTGGCACGTAAGGAAATGGTATATAGAAGTTGTTGTTACTATCATTATTACTGAGCTATAGCAATACAGATAGGTTAAAAACATTTCTAGGAGGTAGAATCTAGAGGTTTAGAGACTGATTGCATGGTGGTAGTAAGACAAAAAAGTTTAGGCTGACATCTGAATTTCTGTTTGGATAACTGGGTAATAAACTGTTCCATTTACTAAAATAGGAAATACAGGAAGAACAGGAACAGGTTTGCTAGAGATAATGTTGATTTGGATTTTGATCATATTGAGTTGCACATGTCCTACCAGAAATGCCTTTCCCTCTTTTCTGTATTTCAAGTGTCAGCTCTTCACCAGTTTCCCTCACAGGCTTCCCCTAAAATCCAGATGCTCTCATAATACACTGTGATTACGCCTCGATAGCACTTATCACATTAAAATGCAACTGTTTGGTTACTGGGCTGTCTTTCCTGCTACACCAAGTTCCCCAAACACAGAGGCCCCCTTATTCACCTTCGTGTTCTCAGCATGTGGCGCAACATGTGACACATACAAAGAATTAAGTCAAACTGAATAAAAGCCGCACAGCCAGGGCACTAGCTACCTTCTGCTCACCCAGGGCTGTTTCCCGTGCAGAGCTCGAGTGGCAGCCCCTCCAACACACAGCCTGTACCTCTTCTCATAGCAGGTGGGGATTTCTGTCACAGCACGTGTACCCTGTACGCCCAGGCCTGTGATGACTGGGCAAATCTGTTCTTGTACACACACCCATGCCCTGGGAATTCCGGGGTAGACAGACAACCCCCTCTCCCCGAGTTACTGATAAACACACTCCCTTCACACATATACTCTCTCTGCCTTGGGGTACAGATCCACCTCTCCCAGCTCAGAGAGGGAAAGAATGAATCACTGCATACTACCCAACTAGGGATCTGTCTGCTCCATCAGTGTACCTCCACTAGCTATTTCAAGAGTTAGCAGCCATTTCCCAGGGCCCCAGGGGAGTCTTACGTCATGGCCTGATATATGGACTCAATGCCATAGCGCATGGCAAATTCATCCACAATTTCCTGGGCAGTCTCATCAAAGTACACCTTCCACGCATCGTCTCCTCGAGCCTCAGGGATCTGGACTGCTCCACTGCCCTGAATGTCCGTGAGGTAATGGAAGAGGTTCTATAGGAGACACAGTAAAATATATATTGGTATTAAAGAGTTAAACTATGTATTAGGAAAAAAACCTGCTGGTAAAGACCAAGAGAGTGTGAATAGGGCTCAACAGAAATTCTGTCCTTCAAGTCACTGCTCAGTAACTCCTATGGCCCCAGCAGTCTGTTCTCACGTTAGTAAAAGAGAACTGGGGCTGGGACTGTTTCTTGGGCTGTCCGCCACAGCACAGTGAGCCAAGGATAAAATAAAAGTGGGCTCCAGAACTTCAAGTAGCTAGCCATCCTACTTATTGTCAAAGGCACCTCCCAACCTAGCTTTCCGGCACCCCATCTCCCAAGAGCTGGCTCACCTCATGGAGACACGTATACTGCACATGATATGGGGCTACCTTCTCCTCCCCCTTGATCTCCACGCTGATTTGCAGTCGGATGGCCCCTGAGACGGCTGACTTGTCTGTCCTCTTCTCTAGGAAGGAAAGAAGACTGGAGATTGACAGCCATGCAACTGCAGACAGCACAGACAGCTCCCATCCCGGCTTAACCCAAAGGAAAGGAGGCCCTGACACGTGTTCACCAAACAGGCAAACTCACTGCAGTTACCGTATGCTTCACAAACACCCCAAAACTGGCTGGGCGGGAGAAAAGAAGTGCCCAGTGGGCTAAAGGCACGAGGGGTGAGATCTCAGTTTCTGAAAGCTGGAAAAGATGTTCAGCCCCAGACACCCCCAGTCCTCCGTCCCCGTCTCCATCTGTGGTGGGTTCTCTGCTGGGAAAGGAAGCTCTGTGTGGAGACGTATATGCTCTGGGGCCTGAGTGGTGGACTCGGTAGACAGGGTTTTCCCCAGGCTCCCCAGTCATGCTCTCCCTTCCCAGAAGCCTTCTCTGGTCCTGCTTCCTCACCCAAGTTGTACCAGACGTCCATTTCGCCACTCAGCGTTCGAACCTCAATGATGGTTTGGCCGAGGAAATCATCAGACTCTCGCTTTAGCCGCTGCTTTACTCGTGACTTGATGTCATCATCCTCATCCCACACACGTACCTTAATGCGGTCGGAAGAGTTGTGGCACTCACTGCAAGAGTCAGGCAGGTTCTGTTACGGACGGACCCGGCAGCCCTCTCTCTCGTGACTCCCGCTTCCTCCCAAGGCTCTACCAGCTGCCCTTGGGACTGACAGAGGAGAAGGAGTCAGAGGGCACTGGTACTCCAGTCCCCAGTGAGTCAGGCTGTCTGAGCAAATGGCTCTCCACTCCTTAGCCCGGGTAGCTCTCTCCAAACTGTTGTCCAGTCCTGACTGCGCTGGTCAAAAGCGGGGAGGAGAGGAGTAGTCCGGGACAATTTTGATTTCCTGCCAGCTAGCTATATCAACGAAACCAACAGAAAACAGCCTAATAGATGCCACAGAACCCTAGGAAGCAGTTGGTAGTTCCCTCCCCAGAGTCCTATATGAAGTCCATAAAGATGTTAAATGTTCATGGTAAGCCCATCTGGTCATATTTGCTTTGGTTTTCTACCTAACATCCCCATATATCTGGGAATGTGCTTGGTGAACTTCTCCCATTCTCCTTTCTTTTTTTTAGTCATTCTTTAATATCCACTTGCCTTGTCATTTTCTCTATGGTGCTTTCTTTGGAGGGGTGGTTTGCCAGGTACCTCCCTCACACTCTCCATCCCCAGCAGTTGCTTTTTGGATCCCTGTTGCCTTATCTAAAAGTTGTACTTGGCAGAGTTTGCTGCTCCTTACCCTATGTTCTCATAATGTCTTTGCATATTCTGTTAAAATATTATAGGATAACTACTGGTCTACTGAAAAATAACAGACAAATCATCAATAAGCCTCTTAAAGCCAGGAATTGTCTTATACATTTTTAGATATACAATACCATGTAGAGTGTCTTATACAGAATACAAGTGTGTGTTAGTCACTCAGTCATGTCCAGCTCTTTGCAACCCCATGGACTGTAGCCCACCAGGCTCCTCTGTCCATGGAATTCTCCAGGCAAGAATATTGGAGTGGGTAGCCATTCCCTTTCCAGGGGATCTTCCCAACCCAGGGATTGAACCTGGGTCTCCCAGACTGCAGGCAGATTCTTTACCATCTGAGCCACCAGGGAAGGCCATACAGAATACAAATTGCTTACTAAACAAAAAGTGGGCAAAACTGACTATAGAGCCAATTCATTTGAATTAACCGTAAGTATCACTTCTCGGGCTTTTGTCAAGATCAAGAGTAGAATTAACCATAAATAATATTCAAGCAGGAACCAGTCAGCTTCTTGAAAAACAGGTGCTCCCCTCAGTAACTATCACTTCTGGACTGGAGATTGCGTTTATAGGCTCCAATCCCTTTTCCCAATCTCCTTCCAAGGAGCCAAGAGCAGAAGGTCTCTACATAAGCTGTCTGTTTGGCTGATTCAGACTCAAAGTCCTGGTCCTAGTCATTAACGGGGGTGTGATAAAGCATCTGGATTCACCAGACACCAGTCCAGGTTCTAGGCTACAGCTTGACATTTTTCAGCGGCCATCCCTTGCTGTCATATGAAATAGTCTGTATCAAAAGTGAGATACTGAATAGAGAAGGGAGGGGAAGCTGAGGCAGAAAGAAAAGCAGAGCCCTTCAGGGAAATGGAAAATTCTAAGGTTTCTATCTTCAAGTCACAATTATCCACTTGTAGGACAAGCTGTTCCCACCCCACTCCCTAGAAGAGACTAACTCTTCCTAGGGGTTAGGAAAATGAAAAGTCTAACATTACAGGATGGCAGGGCTGGAAGGCACAAAGTTGCATGGCAGTCTCTGGCTCTGTCATTCAGCTGTAGTAAAATCTTGCTAGCACTAGAAAAAGAAGTATGCAGGGGCCCCTTTAGTAGCCTGAGTTAAGACTTGAGTGAAGTAACCCTGATACAACAGCCTATGAGAAGAGACCTAGGAAAAGAATAAATGCTAGCCAATTAAAGTAAGTGAGAAATGGGTTTTCTCCATTGCCTCTACCCCATCTCTCTTAGAGTCCAAGTCCAGAACAACAGGATTTAATGCCGTTCCCAAAATATACACAGTCCCAGGAAAGACAGAGCCCACTACGACTTACAAATGGAACTTCTCCTCCCAAACAGGATTCAGGTTTCCAAAAATGGTCTTGGTACGCTTCTTGGTTTTGCCCACTTGCACAGTCACATAAGGGTCACTGGATCCTGTCTTGTCCTTGGCTTGCAGGCCCTGGGCACACACCACTACAACCCAGACATACACAGAAGGAGGCTTCAGAGTACACTCCGGAAGTCATGAGCCCGCCAAAGTACGACTCATACTTCCCATCTTAGAGCACCCTCTATCTGCTCCTTGCACAGGAGCAGATTTCCTCACTCTTCTACTTTTATTCTTAGCCCTAAGCCTTTCCCTCAAAGCCTAGCCCAAGAATCCTACCTCTTCCCTGGACCCTAACTGACCACTTACCCAGAAAGGTCCTTACCTGTTCTGATACATGCATGCTTCAGTCATATGTACCCAGCTAATAAATCACTGGTTAACTACTCCCTAATCTCCTGCCTGTCCCTTTCTCCCCAGTCTCCCAGCTCTTACAACATCAAACTGTTAACCAAGTCTGTGATATCAGATTGTTACTAAATCCTTGCATTATCATTCAGATTGCGAGTGTCAGTCTTGCCTCTCCCAGCACCACTGGCATCGGAGTCTAGAAGAGGAGTGATGAATAATGAGGGCTTCATTCTGTGTTCTTTCCCCCCAGTCCCTGCTTCCTCAAGCTCAGGATGCTTTCCCCCCCAGGCTCCTCCCCATAGCCAAGGCCCTCCTGTCCCCTCAAACTCTGGCTTGCTCACCAGTGATGGTGATTTTGGCTGACCATTTGGAGGTGCCATCCAACACACTCTGCTTCACTGTTTTCATTTGTTGCACATGCGCGACTTTGCTCACGTTGAAGACATCCCGGATAACTTCAAAGATCTCTGGCTTATTCCGCTCTCGGATTTTCATTCGGTCCTTCATGGCCATGATGATGTTCTGGGTCCGGTCCTCCGCTCCATGTTTAGAGCTCTTTTCTGCAGCCCCTGAAGAGTGGCCACAGACAGAAAGTAGGGTAACCAACAGGTCACCTACCAGGTCAAGGATCAGGCTGCAGAATGGGGCTTAGGAGATGTCACTGAGCAGTGACAGAAGCTTAGGAAGACTGATATATCTCTGGGGAAAGCTGGTATCTGTGGGGCCTGCTGGAGTTTAATGCCTGGGCAGTGGAGTTTAAAAGGCAACTCAAACAGCAGCAAAAAGTTGATCATTGTTATATGTTAATCATATAACTAATATGTTATATTAGTCCATTCTCTCTATTTAGAAACATATTGAATTTTTCATCAGAAAAGAAAAAAAAAGTAGCTCAGTCTACAGTTGGTTTTGTCTTTCTTCCATCAAGTCTAAGGCCAAAATATCAAAATGGGTATCTCAGTTATCAGGGAGTGGTTGTGGATAGGCACAATTCCACCAAACTCATCCAAATGCCAAGTCATGATACAGATCTCAGAATTCATCATAGCACGTAGCTGGGCACATCCTCCCCTGTGGCTCCAGTGGCTCCAATCTTAGAAGACATTGTGATATGGTAAGAAAATTAAGGCTTTGTTATCTGACACAGACCTGGGTTCCAATCCTGACTCTACTACTCCCTGCTGGGTAAATACGTTTCTTCTATGAGAAGAAAGTGGCACTTATCTCTCAAGATTTGTAGTAAGCATTTCATTAACATAAAGCATCCAGCCCAGTGCCTGTCATCTGACACTGGGCTATCTGCTTTATTTAATGAGTAATAAACACTCTATTATTATTACCATCAGTATTATCCCAGCAAGGCCAAGGGCCATTTTTACCAGCCATGACCCCAGCCAGCTCATCTCTGCTGTCCTAAGGATGATTAGGGAGGAACAGAGATTTCCTCCAGCGTATTTCACCAACCAGGTTTCTCAGGCAAAGGACCCATTCTTTATTGGCAGACTGGCTCTTAACTTCTCTCCAGTCTCCAAAGGCTCAGGCCTTAACGACAAAACTTGGCACATAGAAGAAAGGTCAACATTCACATCCTAATCCTGGGAGGATGGAAAGCAGATTTTCTGTCTAGGGACATATACAGAAGGGCATTTAATTCCACTCAGTACTTCATAGAAGACTTAGATAAATGAAAAGTGACCTGGGCTGCATCTACTCTTGCATTTAGCACATCCCACGCAACGCTATTTCCCTGGTAGGGACCTCGGAAAGGCTCCTAAAGAGAAGATAAGACACCCTGGCTGTTAGAGGGCACCATCTAGAGGCTCCCAGCAAGCAGCCTCTGCAGCCAGCTGCCAGCTCTCCCAACTGAGGCAGGGCACTGCTGGCACCTGTCCTGCCACCCCGCATGGCGGGTCTGGGCAGAGCCATCGCCAGCACCCAGCTCTTCCGCTGTGTTCAGCCTGTCTCTTCCTGTCCACTGCAGCCACGTCGCTGGCATCGATCTAGGGTTCTTCAGAGAATGACATTACAAGTCAACAATTCCTGAGGCCCCTTTAGGTCTCATATCTTTCCCTGGGATAATGAAGTGCTTGCGAGTCTAAAGGTGACCTTCCTTTCTCCTACCGTAATTGAAGCTTTCATTGCTGCAGCGTGGCAACGAGGAACACCTGAAGACCTGGAGGGCTGAGAGAATACTTCCCACACCCCCAGCCCTGCTCTCCCCAGGGTCTAACCACAGCAGTGCACGCCGAGCAGGGGTGGAGCAAGGAGAGAACTTGGAGCGCCACCACCTCTTGCGCCAAGACTTGCTGCTTTCCCTGCTCCTGTTCTCCCCACTCAGATGGTGGCACAAGGCACATGTTTAGCAAGGGCCTTGGGAGTCACACATTCTCCTTCTGGACCTCTGCCTCATCCATTTGAAGATTCTGTTCTTGGTACTGATGTCTAAAAGCTCCATCTAGAAGCAAGGAGTAAATTCCACCTTCCCTGAGTCTTCCCTAGTCTCCCTCTCAGGAGGCTCCTCTCTGAGGCCTAGAACCCCAGAACTCTCTCTTCCTTTTAGTTCTGGTCCCTGATTACACATGCTCTAGTCTTTTGGGCAAAACAGCCATCATGGTGTGTACAATACCCAGTAGAGCCTCTGGGATCACCTGAATCCCCGAAGAGATTCTAGCTCCACCCAAGGGCCATAGGAAACTCAATGAATTTTTCCTAAAGGTGTTTAAGCGAGTGTTACGAGACCTGTTATTTGGAAAGGCAGTGTCTCCTGACTTGGGAACCTACTTTCTCTAAAAAGGACAGCGCGTCAGAGTCAGGTACAGTGGAGGGATGATAGCTCAGCCATCCTGGTCCCCTGCTGCCAGCTATGCTGAGAGGCCCTGCTGCCCACAGCCCCTACCTCCCGTCACCCCACAGGCCACTCACGCTGCAGGCAATCGGCACTAAGCAGGTCCTGGCACTTCTCGTGGCACTTGACTCCACACTCGCTGCAGCGCATGCCCTGCCGGGCGATGCCCCAGAGCAGGCCTTCACACTCGTAGCAGTAGGTGGGGGTGGTGGCGGACCAGACCTCAAAGTGGTGGGGTGTGGTGCACGAGATGGGGTAGATTAAGGCCTGCAGGGTTTTCTTATACACATGGGATTTCTGAAAAACACATATCCCATCACCCACCAGTGACTTTAGTTCTCTGCTGAGAGATACCACTACTAAGCCCAGTGCAGGGCTATCAACACCTCTGGCAGTCAAGGAGATGCTTCAGCCTGGCCCGGCCCACATTCCAGCCTGGCAGAAAGAAACCCCCAACATCATGTGCTCCTGGTCATCCAAGGAGCACATCCATGACCTAAATGCTGGGTTTAAGACTTGCCCCAGCAGTCAGGGTTTTTAGGGAAACAGAAGGTACTAGGCTCACCATAAATCCCTGACATGAGTGGTCACATACTCATACTCCAACATGAGATTTAGGTTTACCCCTGGTCTGGACCCTTGCTTCTCCCAGTGTGGAAAACTTGATGCTATAATATCTATCTGTTTCATTAACAGAGTCCACCCCAAACTTCTGAACTCCCAGTGTATGGCCACAGAGACGATCACCGGGCCATAGGCCAGTGGACTCATGAAAGCCCATGGGTCACTTACCAGCTCTTCATCCTTGAGAGAGGTGCGTGCGGCCAATGCAGAAGTGATGCCCGCTTTCCGGGACTGGACCAGTGACTGTGAGAGAAGACTCGCTGTCAGCCCTGGCTCTACCAAGGGCTGGGCAAAGTGCTGGGGAGGGAGTTCCAGGGACCAAAGCTACACTGCTTTCTATTTTTACTGTCATTCACAGGGGCCTCTCCACAGGTAATGGGTAACAAACACCTGAGCTTAAGATACAAACTCAAGGCCTTCAGGGAACTGTCCTAACAATGATAGAACAGCACTTCTCTCAGGGTACCTGTCATCCAAAGGGTTTCTCTTTCCTTCAATATCTTTAGATATCTGACCCCATAGAAACCCCTTGTTTAAAGGAAGGCACAGGAAAAAGAAAAGTCTAGAATTGCAGTATGAAACAGGTCATTAAGAACAGGACAGACACAAAACTCTGTCAGAGTCACATTCAAGAACCACCACTGGGAACAATGATGCTATACTAAATCCTCCAGTCCTGGGCACCACCCCATGCCCACACAATCCCAGGTGGCTGTGGAAGCCAACAGCCCAAATGAGCAGGGCACTGAGTAAAAGGGGGCAATGAAGCCTCGCTGAAATCAAGCAGGACAGGGGGTTAAACATGAGATCTAGGACGCCCTGCTAGAAAGGCTCATGAATCTGCCAAGCCCAGGCTTTAGGGACAGCCTCCAGAGAGGCACATGGTTTCCCTAAGGCAGTGGATACCAGGCAGACAGAAGTCATTATATCAGCCTGAGCAGCAAGAATAGTTGGGATGTGCCCAGGTAGGTTGAGATCCGGGCTTTTACAAAGGATGGAAACGGGCTCTGGAGACACTCACCATAGCCTGTGCAGAGGAGAGCAAAAAAAGGAACAACATGATGTTAAAGCCCCACAAGGGCATGAAAGCTTTCAGACACAACTGAGAGGTTCTTCCCTGAAGTCCAAAAGCAGGAAACATGTCCCAACCCCCTCTGTCTCTATCCCCGATCCACTGTATCCAACCCAGACAGCTGCCCAGGGCCCAAGGCCTAGAAGGAGAGTCACGCCATAAAGTGAAATATGGACAAGGTTAAAAGACAGAAGAGGGGAAATAAGAAATGACTAAGATACTGCCACCCACTCGGTTAAGCAAAATAAAACTGGTGAGCAAGGAGGGAGAAGGTGAGAAAAAGCAGGAAGAAAAGAAAGAAAGAAGAGAAAAAAGAGGAGATGAGAGACAATGAAAGAAGGTAACAAAGAAGAGTTGACATCATCTTCAACCAGCCAGCTGGATGAAGCGTTGGTGGGATAAGAGGTGCACTAGGAAGGAGGAGACAGGGAGAGACATATCAATAGCAGGGGGAAAGGGAAGGAAAGAAAGAAACGATGAAGAGAAAATGGCAAAGGACACTCGTATTCAGTCAGTTAAGTAGGGAGAAACTGGTAGGGAAAAAAGAGCACAATATGGAGGAAAAACAAAAAAAAGGAGTGGACAAAAAATATCAAATAGACTGAATAGGGAGGAAAACCAAGGAGTAGAAAATGGTAATAAGAAAAACGGTTCAAGTCTTATTGAACACCTGACTCTGGGACTCCAGGGTACCTGGGTGCCACGCTAACCCCAGTGAGATCATACGAGGTCCTACTGAAGCCATCACTAAGTCTCAGAGGGGCTTTAAATGACTGATCATCAGACTAACACCTGTCGCTGAAGGCCCCACGTCCATTCCTGACAGCTCACTGAGACCACTCACTCACCAGGTCGCTGACAAGCGGCAGGGTCTTCTTCCTGCGTAGATCCGGCATGCTGTCAATGCCATAGAGCCCTCCGGCTGGCCTGAGCAGAGAAGGAGATGTGTCAGGGCTTCCAGTCTGCCCTTGAGTTACTGGCAGGCTCAATGTGCCATCTCCGTGCTCATCCTCTCCCCAGAGAAGGCCGAACTGACCCTCAACATGGGCCTTTAAGAGGAGGAAAGAGGACAGAAAGCGAGGGAAATAAAGCCACGGGATGACAAACAATGGAATCTGCTCTCAGAGTCTCCTTTTAAGGTTTTAGCCAAGGACTGAAAGCTCTTTTATCACACTCTGCCAGTCCAAGGTGCCTTTGTTTATTTGAAGACACCTGTGCTCCATAAAAGGTGGGAACTGATGCTTAAGATAGCTTCTCCCTACACTCAGGCCAGAGACACTGATGCCTAAAGATGAGTCTTTTCTGACCTGTGCTAGAACAGAGCCCACAGGAATAGCTCTACAGAAGAGCTGCTGCCTCCGTGAGCAAGGCTGACAAACAACAGCATGCAGAAGCAGACCTCCTCCAGCCTGAGGAAGAGTCCCCAGTTCGGTCTATCCGAGCCCCCAGAAGAAAAAGAGCCTCTATGGGAAGAGGAGCCTGCATAATCAAATGGAGGCAGGGCAAGTAGATGGGAGACTTCCCAAAGATCATTTAGAGGGGAAAAAGACCATTTAAGAAGGAAATAGCAAAGTGACTCAGAGTGTGGCCTAGCCCTATGCTCACATCAACAGAAACCAGGAAAAAAGTTACAGCTGGAGCAACTGAAAGTGAAGTGAAAGTTCAGTCACCTAGTCATGTCCAACTCTTTGCAACCCCGTGGACTGTAGCCCGCCAGGCTCCCATGTCCATGGGATTCTCCAGGCAAGAATACTGGAGTGGGTTGCCATGCCCTCCTCCAGGGGATCTTCCCCAGCCAGGGATCGAACCTGGGTCTACAGCACTGAAGGCGGACTCTTTACCATCGGAACCACTGGGGAAGCCTATGAACAACTTGAGATTTCTGAAACTCTTATACTTTTTTATACTTATTAACTTTGCTGTTCTTTGCCTGTTATTCCATATAACAATACACAGTAAAAATACAGAGAATTTCCTAAAAAGAATATCATTCTTACATTGAGACAATCTGGATTTTATCCCCAACTCTTCTACTAATTCACTACATATCCTCTGCCAAAATTCCTTCCTCTCTCTGGATCTTGGTGTCACTTCCATAAAATGAGAGGAACTATAAAAACCTCTCTGACCTTTCGGAAAGTATCCTTCTGAGCTTCAATTAAATTCACTCAGGTATTTGGTTTTCAGGTAAGCAATGAGGCAGGGAAAGAAGGGTGGCTGGGTTATATACCACAGCTGGTGTGAAAAGAGGAATATCACAGAAGAATAAGTATGTACTGCTAGCTATATGGGCAAAAATGGAGCCACACATTAGGTCAAGGCCAGGAGTTGGAGCAGGCAACCCTATATACTGATTTCTAATCATCTAGCTTCCTGAAAATAGGCAGTGAGCTCTGTTCTCAATGAGGTCACCACACCTATGAAAGTTCAAAACTTGTGACAGTTTCTAAGGACTAAGCTGAAGGAAGGGAAAGATGACAACAGGGAGACATTTAGAAAATCCCTGCCTGGCTCCATTTTAAAATAGCCTGGTTATGTTGCGTTGGTATGTATGAAGTTTAAAATTATTTGAAGAAAAATGCTAAAGCCCTGAATAAGGGCTGTTGAAGAAGCAACTGATGCCACGAGTTTGTGGCTAATTCTGAAAACTATAAAATGTATACCTTAAGCCAAGAAGTGTTTTTTTTTTTGGCAACACAAATGAGCTTTTGACAAAAGAAGAGCGGCTCATTCACACGATTAACTCTTGCTATAAAAAAGACACATTGCAAGAAAAAGGAGCATTTAAAAATATAGTTAATAACGTTCTGATCTAATCTTTTTTCTTCCCTGGTGATGAGGAAGAGGAGGCAGCCACTGAGAGCTTCGACGTCAGGAGGACTTTGAGGGGCAAGGAGAGAGGGAAGCGCCTGGGGTCCTGAGACCTGTATGTGGAGGGCAGAGGGCGCGTGCGCACTTAGACGCTTTCCTCCCTTAATAACAGTGAGCCATCGCAGCTAAGCAATTCAAAACCATTCTCCGCTGCAATCACGTGGGTCTGAAACTCCCAGACAAGGAACACAGACAGAACATACTGAGCTCGTAAGGGTCCTCACTAGAGTAGGGTGGAGTGAGGAAGTGACTCACAGCAGCTGAGGCCAGCGGCAAGCTAAGCAGCTACACTGTCAACAGTGGGAGAGAAGGAAACCAGTTCTAAATGCAGATCTTTTTCTAGTTTTCCCATCCTTATACATAAAGGGCATACCATCACTATGATGCAATACAGCAGAAGTTCCAGAAGGAAGGATGGGGAGCCCCAAAGTTCCCTCCCCTGCTTCAGGGGAACCATTCTGCAAAGCTCTCTCTTCTGTCTCTGGGGAATCAGTTTGCAGAGTCCTCTCCTCTGCCCCAGAGAAACAACTGTCTCGACAGTGGAACATCTTCCTTCTCCAGAGTCCAGCTGATGAAGCTGTTTCTCCTGCTTCCCAAGGGAAAAGCTAAAGCAGCATAAGAGACTCTGTAAGGTTCACAGAAACCTTGAGGAGCCACACTTACCCTTCTGGAAGCCACTGGGGCAAACGGGGATCACCATCATCTGGAATCTTTAAAGAGAGAAAGAGAGAAGTTAGCTCCTGGGAAAGATGGGAGAGTGCCCTAGTTCTTTGGTCAGGCAGGGAGCAGTAAAGTAGGAAGCTCAGAGCAGCACAGGCCACACACACCATGTGAGGACACAGCCGGCCTGAGGTGTAAGCCAGCTCCCTGATCAGCCAGGGCCACAAGCAGGCAGCTGGAATGAGCGGTACTTCATCTCCCTTCTCCCCAGTGAACACGGAGGATACAAGCTCACAGAGAACCCAGGACCAAGATCCACTGGGAGTGTGAGAGCTGCCAGAACGGAGAGCCCCCTCACACATCCGCTGGTATCGAACAGTAAGCATGGGCCAAGAGAGTGCCCATGTAGGCGTCCAGGCCTCACTAAAGCAAAAGGACAACTTCATATAGAGTCCAGTCTTCCAGCCATATTTTTAAGTTCTGCTGGCTGCCCTAGAGTCAGACCTGGTCTTTCTGGATTCCTGTGTCATGTTGTGATTTGCTTGGCCTAGGATCCTTGAAGCTATAACTCATCGACACTGAGTACGCTCTACATTTGATAAGCTTGATATAACAAAAGAATCCAGGGTAGATTAGATACTTGGATTACCATTTTTGCCAATTTTATGAACTTTACAATAAGAAGCTAAACACTGAAGCACCAAATAATTCAAGCAAGGAACTGTTGGAAAACACTTTTTAAAGCTTTTTGTTAAAAAAAAAAGAAAGAAAGAAATCTGAAGCAAATCCTTCAGGCAGAGTACAGAGCCCCAAGGCCGCCAGGGCTCTCAAGGATCAATGACAGCTGCTGTTTAAGCCCAACAGACGCAGTGCTGGCGGGCCTGGGGCTTGCTGTCCCTCCGTGTTCCCTCCGCCCCCAGTGACCTCCCTGACTCCCGGGATCTGGACTCCAGCTAGCCGTCCTGAGCAAAGGAGCTCCAGATCAAGGGAGGCAGCGGTAAGCTCTTAGGCTCTGGATAGGGGGTGAAGTTTTGGGAGGGTTAAAGATGGGAGGAGTTATAGACAAAATGAGGCAAGAGAGTGAAAAAGAGAGGCAGGACAAGCTAATCGGTGATGGAAAAGTGGGTAAGAGTGACCCGTGACCCGGGACCAGCCGGAAGCTCAAGATGCACTTTGGATTTAAGATCCTTCTCAGGTTGCCTGTGCTCTAGTCAAGCCTATTTGCCTGCTGCCTGAGGCCCTTCATGACCACACCTTGCTGCTTCTGCCTCCTTCCCTGGTTCTATCAGTGGGATGATACGGTAGAGGGAGGGCCAGGCCCAAAAGGCAGTCAGAAGGTTGAATCAAGTCTCCTAAGGTTCCTGTGAGGGGCAGTCCATCCCATCCCTAAATCCCCAGATCCCACCAACCAGAATTTATCCTCCCTTTAGAAATAGTCACTGCACTGAGCAGATTTTTACTTCCTACCTAGAATTAGGTGGTTGCCAGAAGCCACTGGGCTTAAGGAAACAAAATCACAACACATCTTTGGCAGTCAGGGTTCATAGGCTCAGATCATACACATTTCCTGTGCTCAGAGCGGGCAGTGGGTCTGCAGAAGCCTGCAGACACAGTGCAGAGCATGCGCAGACGGCACAGAAGGAGGGCTGGGGGGATGAGAGCAGGTCTCAACAAAGTGCCTGTAGGAGGTACATTCGTAGACACGACTTGCACCTGAGGACCCACAGGTGAGCACGGATCCTGCACACAGAGATACAGAGCATGTGCACACCCATCTGGGGGAGGACTCGGTGTTCACCAGGGCTCAAATCACCGGCAAAGCACACCCTTAGCACCTTGAGGAACCAGTGTTTGTAGGCACATTCTCATGGTGTGGGGAAACCACACCACAGGTCTGCAGACCCTTGTGCTCACAGAGCAGCCAGGAAGCCTGCTCAGAAGCACCGAGCACTTTCACATTTAGGCCCCAAGCAAGAGGCACAAAAAGCCCACAAAAACTCCTGCTCTCAAATACAAAGTGTGTACGCATGCTGGGCTCAGCGAGGGTTCACAGCATATGCCAGTCGGCAGCCACAAGAACACGGACACACGTTGTGCAAAGTAGGAAAAGAGGAAGGCAGTCAGTACCCGGGGGGGGTCAAGCTGAGCACAAGGGGAAGCACACGCATGCTGCACTGAACGTGTGCCACGCAGGCACACACATCCTCGCAAGGCTCCACGGGCGTCTGCAGGAGCACACACAGGCACGGAGCATGCACACAAACACACCGGCTGCATGAGCCGCAGCTCATGGGCACGCATGCGTGCACACACACATACACACACTGTACTCAGGAGGGAGGGGAGAGAACCAACAACAAAGGGGCCCCAAAGGGCCAGAGCACAACCTGAAGGGCTCCTCGCTTTCCTTCTGCAAGGAGAGAAAGAGCAGGAAAAAAAGGGCAGAGAGGTTAGTAGATTCACCCTAACCCAGGCAGAGCTAACCGCGCGGGACCCGGAGGAGAGCCCGGAGAAGCCCTCTGAACGGCGGGGCAGTGCACAGAGCCTGGCTCCCGGAATCCTCACCTCCTGTGTTCGCTGCCCCTGCTTTTTAGTTCAGAACCCGGGTTTGGCTACAAAAACCAAAGGACTGCGCCGGCCTGGGAATTTCAGCCACCCTTCCCCCCCTTTCCAAAGTGGTCTGCATGTAGGGTCAGGGCCACTGGGGTCACGAGACCAGCTGTGCTACCAAGGGCCACTCCCACAGGCCGTCGGAACTGACTGAACACAGAGCAGGCTCCTTTCTCGGAAGCTACACGAGCTCACCCGAATCTGGGGGAAGTCTGCAAACCCCAAAAGCCAGGTAGCAGAGCCCTCTCCCTTTTCTAACACAGGCTGGCTACGTGTTTTGCTCCACAAGCCTTGGCCTGTTTTCCCAGAGCCTAAGTTAAGTTAGGCCAAGTTAAGGCCTGGAAGTAAGGCCAGGACCTGGATGCTCAGTGGACATAGATTTGGAGGCACCGAGTCCTTATCATAAGTCACTATGATCTGAACGATAAAACCACGGCTGCAATCCCAGGTTTGATTATCTACCGAATTTAGAACAATACGTCAAAAGAAACTGACACTTCCAGAAGGACCCAAGCAAACCACAGGAGAGGAAGAATAAAGTCCAGAAACTACTCCTTTCCTATTTGCCAGACGCTACATTGCCTTCTAGGCCATACTTGCTTGACTGAGGCTTCCTTCTCTAAGCAAACTTCATTATCTGGGCCCATTAGCCCCTCTTTTCTTTTTTTTTTCCCCATCCCTTTGAATAAAGAATCACTGATGTTACATAACAAGTAGAAGGGAGAACTAATAAGTTCCCAATTTTTCAAGCTATTTCTGATTACCTAATGGGTCACCTGACTTGACAGAAGGGATTCAGGCAGCCACAAGAACACGGACACACGTTGTGCAAAGTAGGAAAAGAGGAAGGCAGTCAGTACCCGGGGGGGGTCAAGCTGAGCACAAGGGGAAGCACACGCATGCTGCACTGAACGTGTGCCACGCAGGCACACACATCCTCGCAAGGCTCCACGGGCGTCTGCAGGAGCGCACACAGGCACGGAGCATGCACACAAACACACCGGCTGCATGAGCCGCAGCTCATGGGCACGCATGCGTGCACACACACACATACACACACTGTACTCAGGAGGGAGGGGAGAGAACCAACAACAAAGGGGCCCCAAAGGGCCAGAGCACAACCTGAAGGGCTCCTCGCTTTCCTTCTGCAAGGAGAGAAAGAGCAGGAAAAAAAGGGCAGAGAGGTTAGTAGATTCACCCTAACCCAGGCAGAGCTAACCGCGCGGGACCCGGAGGAGAGCCCGGAGAAGCCCTCTGAACGGCGGGGCAGTGCACAGAGCCTGGCTCCCGGAATCCTCACCTCCTGTGTTCGCTGCCCCTGCTTTTTAGTTCAGAACCCGGGTTTGGCTACAAAAACCAAAGGACTGCGCCGGCCTGGGAATTTCAGCCACCCTTCCCCCCCTTTCCAAAGTGGTCTGCATGTAGGGTCAGGGCCACTGGGGTCACGAGACCAGCTGTGCTACCAAGGGCCACTCCCACAGGCCGTCGGAACTGACTGAACACAGAGCAGGCTCCTTTCTCGGAAGCTACACGAGCTCACCCGAATCTGGGGGAAGTCTGCAAACCCCAAAAGCCAGGTAGCAGAGCCCTCTCCCTTTTCTAACACAGGCTGGCTACGTGTTTTGCTCCACAAGCCTTGGCCTGTTTTCCCAGAGCCTAAGTTAAGTTAGGCCAAGTTAAGGCCTGGAAGTAAGGCCAGGACCTGGATGCTCAGTGGACATAGATTTGGAGGCACCGAGTCCTTATCATAAGTCACTATGATCTGAACGATAAAACCACGGCTGCAATCCCAGGTTTGATTATCTACCGAATTTAGAACAATACGTCAAAAGAAACTGACACTTCCAGAAGGACCCAAGCAAACCACAGGAGAGGAAGAATAAAGTCCAGAAACTACTCCTTTCCTATTTGCCAGACGCTACATTGCCTTCTAGGCCATACTTGCTTGACTGAGGCTTCCTTCTCTAAGCAAACTTCATTATCTGGGCCCATTAGCCCCTCTTTTCTTTTTTTTTCCCCCATCCCTTTGAATAAAGAATCACTGATGTTACATAACAAGTAGAAGGGAGAACTAATAAGTTCCCAATTTTTCAAGCTATTTCTGATTACCTAATGGGTCACCTGACTTGACAGAAGGGATTCAGGAATAGGAATCTTCCAAAACAGTGCAGAAAAGTGGGTGAGATTAAAAAAATATTTCTGGAAGAGGGAACAGTCTCTTCTACTACATCTACTCCCTACTTCCTGAGAACACTCTGTTCCCTTTGAAAAAGCAAGCTAGGCAACGAACACTAACTGACCCCGTGATTCAAGCTGAAAAGGTTTCTCTCTTCCTCCACTATCTCAAATATATTGTACACATCGTGTCAAAATTACTTCAGTTGTGTCCTTCCTACTCTTCCCAGAGTTCCCCATGATGCCTAAAGAAGAAAAGTCAATATATCGTCAAGGCTCTCCATGTCCTGGCCTCTTGCATTGATTGGGTGAACTCAGACTTCTTCTTAAAAACTTAGATCAAATATTAATGTCTCTGAAAATGTATCTGCCTTCCTCTCAAAAACAGAATTAGGTGCTTCTCTATTACGCATCCATGGTACCCACGCGTTTGTATACACACTTCTATACAGTTTGTTCTCAGTATGTTTCATTGTTAATTGTCTGTATAAATGTCTCTCTTTACATATTGTGAATTTCTCAAGAGCAAGAATTACATATATATATTTTATTTCACCTTTGTAGTCTGAGGGTTTAGCACATCTAGTGTTTTTATGTAGTAAAAGGAACTTGAAATTTCAGGACTTAGAAAACAACAGCCTTTCTAAGGACATGTGTCTTGCCTAAGAGAAAAGATAGGCCTCAGCCTGTACCATTTTCCAGACCCCCAAGAACCACTGTATTAGTCCCTTCAGTATCCCAACCACTGGCCAAACATTTTCTTATTAATAACTTAAAAAAATCTTTTGTTAGGAATCAAACACTCTGTGCCTCCTAACTTCTTAAAATGCCTTAGGATTTTTCCACTCAGATTTAGTTTTCAATTTAAGTGATACATGTCTATATAACACCTGCTTTGCAGGAAAATTCCTGATCCCTAAGAATAATCTCACTCTTCCAATAGTCCATCTGATGAGGAAGAGACACACTTCCTCACTGTTACAACAACCTTAACTCCATTACTTAGGAGTCAAAGATTTGAGGCACTCAACTTACCTAAGCCTGCATTTCCTTATCTTTAAAAAGAACATAAGACTAGCGATTGCCCAGAGTTATTGTGAGGATTCATTCTTTTTAAAAATTTTTATTTATTTATTCATTTTTAATTTTTTTATGCTTGATACACTTGATATATATTTGTTATATTTTCAAAGGTATATGGATACAGTTATGTAGTTAGTTATTCAATATGTTGCCTGTATTTTCTGCCTCTTTTTTTTTTCCATTTATTTTTATTAGTTGGAGGCTAATTACTTTACATCATTGCAGTGGTTTTTGTCATACATTGAAATGAATTAGCCATGGATTTACATGTATTCCCCATCCCGGTCCCCCCTCCCACCTCCCTCTCCACCCGATCCCTCTGGGTCTTCCCAGTGCACCAGGCCCGAGCACTTGTCTCATGCACCCAACCTGGGCTGGTGATCTGTTTCACCCTAGGTAATATACATGTTTCGATGCTGTTCTCTTGAAACATCCCACCCTTGCCTAAAAATTTTTATTTATTTTTAATTGGAGGATAATTGCTTTACAATGTTGTGTTGGTTGCTGCCACACATCAGCATTAATCAGTCATGAGTATACATATGTCCCCCCTCCCACCTCATCCCAGCCCTCTAGGCTGAGCGCCCTGTGTTATACAGCCACTTCTCATTAGCCACCTGTTTTACATATGGTAATGTATGCATTTCAATGCTACTCTCTCAATCCACCCACCCCCTCCTTTCCCTGCTGGGTCCACAGGTCTCTTCTCTGTGTCTGAGCTTCTATTCCTGCCCTGCAAAGAAGTTCATAGGTACCATTCTTCTAGAGTCCATATATAAGCGTTAATACCCAGATATTTGTTTTCCTCTTTCTGACTTACTTTACTCTGTATAACAGGCTACCATCTGAGCCACCAGGGAAGTCTCTAGGTTCATCCACCTCACTAGAACTGACTCAAATGTGCTCCTTTTATGGCTGAGTAGTATTTCACTGTATGTATGTACCACAACTTCCATTCCTTAAATACTCACTGAGAACCTACTTCACATTAGGTACTGTTCTCACGCTGCTAGAGCAGTGAATTGTGATATTAAGAAGCTTCTATTCTAGCAGGAGGAACAGACAACTAACAATGATGGTGAAGATGATGAGACCTGTGAACACCAAGTGAACACAATACACATCTGGCATTTTATTCGAGTAAGCTCATTTACTTCTCACAACAACTCTACTGAGTATATACTGTTATAATCTCCATTTTTCTATTGACCTATGATCCATTTCTATAATTTCCATTTCTATTGATCCATTTTTCTATTGATCTATGAAGATCACAGAGACGTTAAGAAACTTGCGTGAAGTCACAGCAAGTGGCAAAGCCAAAATTTGAAACAGGTACTCTGGTTCCAGAATCTGGAGCTATGTATACTGTAACCTGATGCGAAGAACTGACTCATTTGAAAAGACCCTGATGCTGGGAAAGATTGAAGGTGGGAGGAGAAGGGGACAATAGAGGATGAGATGGTTGGATGGCATCATCGACTCAACGGAATGAATTTGAGTAAACTCCAGGAGTTGGTAATGGACAGGGAGGCCTGGCGTGCTGCAGTCCACGGGGAAGCAAAGAATCAGACATGACTGAGCAACTGAACTGAACTGAACTGATCACAGATGATAGGGACTTTGCTGAAAAATCCAGGTAAGGGGAAAAGATATTGTCCCCAGTGGTGATGTTATGCTATGAAAACCTTATAAAACATTGTCAGGAGGCCTCACTGCTAAAAGAACATCTAAGCAGAGATATGAAGAAAAATTAGTAGAGAAGCTATTCAGAGTGCAAAGAGAAAAGTATTCCAGTCAGAACATACAGCAAGTGTAAAGCCTGAGGTGACAGCATAGCTGGCGTGAAGGAACAAGTCTGCCTCAGAGCATCATTCCAAATAGGGCCTCATAAGCACTTGGGCTTTCATTCTGAGACAGAAAAAATCACCAGAAGGTTCTGAACAGAGAAGTGATATCATCTGACTTGTGTTTTATGTGGATTACTCTGGCTGGGGAGAATAGACTGCAGATGGTCAAGGGTAGAAGCTGGGAGATCAGTAAGACTACCACTATCATCTGGACGAGAGAAAATGGTGACTGAGATTGAGAGGTTAGTGGCAAGGTTTGGAATATGTTTTAAAGGCAAAGCAGGTGGAATTTAATAACTGATTGGATATGGCTTATGAAAGAAACAGAGAAGTCATGACTGACTCTACTGGGACTTCCCCGGTGGTACAGTGTTTAAGACTCCTCGCTCCCAATGCAGGGGGCCCAGGTTCAATCTCTGCTCAGGGAACGAGATCCCACATGCCGCAACTAAGACCCAGCACAGCCGAAAACAAACAAGCAAATAAAAAACAAAACAATGTGGTTTTAAAAAAAAAGAATGACTCTATGGATTTGGGTCTGAGCAGCTAGCTGCAAGAATGGAGTTGCCATTTACTGGTAAGGAAGACTATAGGGAAAGTAGGTTTGGCAGGGTTTACGGAGAAGGATCAGGAGTTTGGTTTTGAATATGTCAAATCTGAGATGTCTATTCACACGGAAATGTGGGTGTTAAGTAGATGTAGAATCTGGTATTCCTAGAAGATATCTGGGCCAGATATCAATCTGGGAATGCTTGTGAAAATCATGAGACTGAAGGAGATTGCCTGGGAAGTGTGTATAAATAAAAAGTAGTGCTCAGGAGTGAATCCTGAGGTGCTACAAGGGTGGGGAGATAAGCAGGGAGTAGCAAAAATGACTCCAGAAGAAACGGTCAATAATGTTGGAGGAGAAACAAGACAGAGAGGTATTCTGGAAGCCAAGTGAAGAAAGTATTTCAGAAAGAAGGAATCTAGGGACTACCCTGGTGGCCCAGTGGTTAAGACTGCAATTCCAATGTAGGGGATACAGGTTCGATCTC